GTCACCATCCCTGGAAGTATTTAAAAAATGTGTAGATGTGGCGCTTACGGACATGGTTTAGTGGGCATGGTGGTGTTAGGTCAACGGTTGGACTCGATGATCTTAGAGGTCTTTTCCAACATTAATGATTCTATGATTAGAGTAAAGGAGGGTGAAAACTGGAGATGTATGATTTTTTCTTTTGCAGTGTTGGAGATAGGGAAGGAGAAAGAAAGAAGGAAGAGACTTTGGTGTAACGTTATGCAGGCTATGAGGGCAAGGAAAGGGGGCTTAAGGTCTTCAAAGACAGAAAAACTTGATCATGAGAGTGTGAATTTTTCAAGTCCATGCTTACCTAAATCTCTAAATAGATTGAAATCTAGAAGATTTTTTTCAGTAGTGCTCTGAGAAAACAATTTTTGTAAGCTTCCATGATATTCATTGACTTTATAGTGGATCTTGTAGGACTTCATGTGCGGTTGTTACAGTTATTTTCAGTATCCCTATTCATGGGTATTTGTATGTGTTTAATCTGATTTCTTCGTGTCTAATACTTGTGTCCTTATTTTCCTTTTTTTGGTGTATCTGTATATAAAAATTTTCAATCATATTTTGATGAATTCTTGAGGGACGTGCTTAATATTTTGTCTATTGGATATATTGAGCTTTTTTTAACTGAAGATTTAAAAATCCATCCAATCCTTTTCATCCACAAAAGGAATCTAGAATATTTGGAAACACTCAAGCCCATTTGCTTTAATACTTGAGCTCACTTGCTTAAACAAAGTTTTCAAATAACTAGTAGAATATGTCTTACTAAAAAAGTTTTTTTTCTTTTAAATAAAGCTTTCTTTTTGAAGGTGAATTTTTTTTTTAAGCCTGGAGCTCAGTCAATGAAGCTGAAATGTAAATGAAGGTTTTATGATATACACGTGGATAAATAAGGAAGGCATAACTTAGGATGCACAATTTAGCCTTAATTCTGTCAATTGCCAATACAAAATACTTCAACTTAGTGGTTTTGATGCTCCTTTATATACACTGTTATGTGTCTGGGGAAAAAAACAGTTGAATAATCGCAGTCATTCCTCTTACTCTTGCCATAACCTTAATCTTCTATGATTTTTCTCTTCTGAATACTTCTTAATTTTTCAGCATTCTCCATAGTTCTGGAAAAAACATTCACCACTGCACTTTGCAGTATAATGACATTATTGTTTAGTCTTCTTTCTGTATGTCCTAACATCTTGTTTGCTTTTTAGTTTGTTACTTCCTTTACAGTCTTTATTGAATTGAGTATGTTGTTCTCCTATGTCTTGATTAAGATAATCAAAACCCCTGTAGTTTGTATTACTAGTCCCAGGGTCCAGTTATTTTAAGGAATCTAGACCATCCAATCTAAGTTAGTTTGCGTGTATTAACATTAAAGTCCATGTCAGGATTCGTTAGGATAAAACCAGTAAAACTGTAAAGCCCTTTTTACAGCTGAGTGCTTTCACTTAATATATTTGGGGCTGTACGTATGGAGTTACAACATATTTTGGGAAATAGTGCTGGATTTGTGTTACCAGCTGGGAGCATAGTTAAATTAAAACCTGTAAGACTAACTTTGAGAAGTCCCTGAATGGATGATGAAGCTGAAATGCATGCATTATTGCTAATATATCCAGCAGTCTGTGGTTGCAACTGGTTGGTTGGCCTCCTGGAATGTGTCGAAGGAAGGTAGCTGAGTGTTAGAGCTGAAACTCTCCTTTATGTATGAAGCGGTTTCCTTTTTGTATATTGCCTCTGCCATCTGTAGTGCTCCCTCAACTTACTTTTTTTCGTTCTTAATCAATCAACTTGCTGTTGTTACATCTCATGCGTTTCTCCTTTTCTGCCTATTACAAGTCTGTCTAGGAGAAGGATAACGAAGGGAGTTGGAGAGACGTGACAGATCCCTGCCTAAGCTATAATGTGACCTGGCCTAAGTCTATTTCTGTCAGTCTTGTCCATTCTTGTCCCAGCTGTCTTCAGAAAGAACCTGGCAAGTAGTAAATATCCTTGAGGACTATTTCTTTATTTAGGAGATGTATACTATATAAAACTTAACAGAATCCTGTAGTTGCGGGCTTGTTTCTCATCTTCTCACAATAAACTTACTTTACTGTCTTCAAAACTCAACGACAATCTGTGAACTTTTCCAGAGAAGAATGTTTCCAGTAGGAGAGTCTTGCCTTTCTGATTCATTCTCACTTGCTCACAGGGTAGATTAGGGACCTCCTTTCAGTTTGTTTCCTCTGAATAACTGATTTGTTTTCCTTCAGAAACATACGCATACGGTGTAGAAATGTGTTCTTTTGTGTTCTGTTACTCTGAAGCAATAGCTGATGGAAATAGGTGTTTACATGATGTGTTGAAGTTAATGGTTTCTGCTGTTTCTTCCTCTTGCGTGCTTTCCAACAACCACTTTTGTGAAAGCTGTCATAATCGTCTTAGTTTCAAAGCATTATCTGAAGTAAAGCTTGGAAAACATGAAAGTCTTCAAAAGCAAGTTTCATTATCAGGAAAAAAAAATTATCTTAGCCAATTTTACCATGAGGTTTGGATTCTTCTCAAAGAGAATATAGTTTTTTTAGGAAGAATAGCTGGAATTTTTTTTTTTGAGAAAGTGATTACTAGAAAAGAAACTGTAGATTTGGCTATGTGATCTAGTTGTGAGATGAGAGGTTTTTCTGTTAGACCACACTTTCTCCAGAACTTTTAGTCCAAATGAGGAACTTCCAGAACAAAAAGTGAGTTTGAGAAAATGTTAGAATAGAAGGCATGGTGATCTGCTGGTAGTTTTCTCTCCTTTTTGTTTTAATTTCTTAGCCACCCTGAAACTGGTTGCTGTTGGCAAAAAAGCAACAATTAATTGTATTGTTAATTATGGACTGATTTATTTTCAGATCTCGATAGAGAATGACTACCTAGGCCCCAGAAGGATTGAGAGTCTTCAAAAAGAAGATGCCGATTGGCAGAGAAAAGCCCACATGGCTGTGCTGTCTATTCAAGATCTTACAGTTAAATACTTTGAAATAACAGCTAAAACACAGAAAGGTAGTTATTTTCTACTATCTGTCAAATAAAAGATCTTTTAAAATTTATTTAATGTTTACCATGTTCTGTATTGTACTGTGATTTTTTTTTTTCCCCCCCATCAATCCTCCATGAGGAGAACGCAGTTGTCATTCCCACTTGTTTTTTCTTCTGTGTCTATTCGAATCTTTCACCCATAAGCCTTTTCAGAACATCATCAGAAGTGAGCAGAATAGGAATTTTAGATAAAGGTTTCATAACGACTTTCTCAGTGTGATTGTATTAGCTGCACTGTACATCTGCAAAGGATTTAGGGAGCATAGAGTCCCTGATGGATTCTGTCTTCTGTACTGGATATGGCAGACCACCATAGTAAGTGTTTATTACCTTTCAATTTATTTCCTTTTCCTGTCTCCCCTGCCTTTCAGTAATTTTTTTCATGGCTCTAAATATTAAGCAACAGCTCGGTTTAACTACTTGGTGAAAGCTGCTCTGTTGTTCGGAAATCTTCACGGATATAATCTTGACATTTCTATGCTTGAAGAATGCAGCAGTTTTAGTAAAGAGTTGATGCAGTAAAACCAGGTCATATGACTTGCCATGTACATCTGTGCTCTCATCCTTGTACCATTTTAACTTAAATAATCAGTTTATTAGGGCAAACACAACTGAGGATGTGGTTTCATGTCACCTCTTTTAATTTGACTGTGGGCTACCACTGACAGTTTATGTCCCACTGTCTTCCCTGCCTGACTGCAGGTTCGTGTTTCTTTGCCTTAGTAATAGTGATTGTGCAACCAGATAAATAAGCTCTACCCCTGGGAGAAAATCTTTTTTGATGGGTAGGTGTCCTGTCATCTCCCTGCATGACTGCTAGATCTGCCTCAAGAGAAGCAGTCACTGCAAAATTATTCCTTTCGGTGACAACCAAAGTTAAGTATAACATGAAACTCCACCTTATTTTGAAAAAGTGACTAAACCAGTTCAAGCATGTTGGAATGAATTTAATTAGAGCAAATTCTAAATGTATTTAATCAGTTTGGTTCCTTTTCTAGTATGACAAAGGCAGCAAATAAAATACCCCATTAGTTGATAAAGAACGTATATTTACAGTTACTTTCTTTCTGTTTTGTTTACATGCTTTTTTTATGTACAGCAGTCAGGATTGTGGGGAAAAACACTGGGAAATGAAATGCCTGGAGACCGTTTACAACCATAGACCTTTGGTGTACAGGTTGCTTGCCTGTTTTGTTATGTTTTGGGTTTTTTTGGCCTCCTGCTGATCACAGGGTGGTCTTACATACCAAAATACTTACAGATGGCAGAGGAAAAACACATGAAAACATAAAGGTATTTTTTATTACCTAACAACAGCATGTAATATCTTCTAGCAGCTGGGGACTGAATGCTATCCCTTTGATTGTGTGGCTTTCGTGGCTTTTGCTTTGCAAAGCTAAGTGTACAGTATCATGTGGTTGTTCTATATATTAAAAATGGTGACAACCTTATGTGTGTCAGCCTAGATGTCTGGGGCTCAAGAATACGAAATCTGAATCAGGCAAGGGATTCCTGCTACTCTGAAGTCTTCCTGAAAAGACTCTCATTCATCGCTCCATATTAAGATCAGATTATAATTTGTTCAGTTAATTTGAATTAATTTTGTGAAGCAACCTGCATTTTGAGTTAAAAGATAGATGTTACTTTAATTCAGTGTTCTTACACAATTGCAGTTGAGGTCAAGCTGAAATTTTTGTTTTAAATTTGTAATTTTTTTTCACTCTGCAGATTTGTTTAAATTTATGACTGCACTATAGAAATTATCAAGGGAAACTGGAGACTTTAGTAGCTGATAATTGGGGCTTTTAGAAGTAGGGAAAATTTGGGATGCAGTTTAAAACCACATGGGAGCATTAATGAGATATGTTTATTAAGCCAAGAATTCTGAACCAGTGGTTCAAGTGTTCAGGTACTGTGTATTCAGAATGATCCCTCTGTGGATAACAAAAATTGGAATTATAATGATAAAATGATCAACAGAGAGCTAATTGCATATTTACATGAATCCTAAGAGTATTGACATCCTGGATTTGAAGGTTAGTACTCCGTAGAATGACTGCTTCCTGCTAAGAGAACTTCATACGCTTTTGGATACAAATGTGTGCATTGTCTCTGCAGTAGAATCACTAGTGATCTGAAGAGTAGACTGGTAAGCTGTGTGCGTTTTCTTCCCTTCTGTAGCTGTGTACGATCGAATGCGAGCAGACCAGAAAAAATTTGGTAAGGCAGCATGGGCAGCAGCAGTGGAACGTATGGAAAAGCTTCAGTATGCGGTTTCTAAGGAGACACTGCAGTTGATGCGTGCTAAAGAAATCTGTTTGGAGCAGAAGAAACATGCACTGAAAGAGGAGGTAATTTTTCATACCAATAAATAGAAAAATAAAACATGCAGAAAAACCCCAAATGTTAAGGATTGTTGATGTACTTAAAAAAACCCAAACAAACCCAAAAAACCCCAGACTTGAAAGTCATTATTTTTCTGCTTTTAATAACAAAAGTTTGTATTTAAACTTTTACTACACTCTACCATGTTAGACAAATGGAGTTGCAACATAGGTGTGGTGGGGTTTGTGCCACTTACTTAAGTTTTCTGTTCACCTTTTCCTGGTTAGTCAACCAGGAAGACAGTTTTTACTGTTAATGTTTACAGCTATCCACTGAGATGAATAACATGAAGAGAAAGGATAGGACAGAAATCTGCTGTGATGTAATCTCCACACTTTAGCTCTCAGAGGCATGACCACCTTTTTGGAATAGTTCTAACATTCCACATGGAAGGTGTCTGAACATCAGTAAAAATACAGATGACTAGCCTGTTGTACTGCACTCTTTGTCTCTGTTTACCCTAATTATTAAGGCAGTCTTCCAGAGGCGGTTGTGCTAGCTACAGCTTTCCTGAGGAAAGAGTGCATGCATTAAACTGTGTTTAAATGTCTTAGCAGAAAAAAAACGCATTTACTGGGTTTTATGACACCACCTCAAAAGCAAAAATGCTACAAATCCTCTTTTAAAATTTGCTATCATATGGATATTCAGTGCTAAGAACTTTCTGGCATAGCAATGTTAATTTGCAACTGATTGGATAGAATGTTTGTTTTTAGAGCACTTTTCAAATGTTTCAGCAAAATTTGACTAAACTGGTGGCTCTGTTATGAAAAGGTTATCCAGAGAACTCACGACTTTAGCACTGTATAGATTGGTAGGTTTTTAAGCATGATAGACTATGTGCCTATTTTAGCAGCTTCTGTAGAAGACAGCTTGATCTGCAAGGAGAGAGAGTACATGCAAGACCCAGAGCACGAAAATAAAAAGTTTGCTCTATTTCAACGGCCTTTATATTTAGAAAGCCAAGAGTTGTCTGGAAACCTGAGTTTATCAGGCTGCTGCCATCCTTTGCTGAGAGTTGATGAGAGAATCTAGCAGTACTAATTGGAAACACTATATTTAATACGTTCGCATATTTAGGGCAGCCATGCATTGTCTTTTCCATAGCACATCTTATTTTTCTCCCAGTGGAGACCTTCCCTGAATTTTTGTTGAATGAGATCTCAGTCTGGTAAATGACTGATTGATTGTTTTGATGTGCCAAAGCATTAGGGACTGCACAGGAAAAGGAGAGGTTCGTTGCAGTATACTGGGGGGTGAAGGGCACTGAACTGAGAGTCTAGGGCTTTTGGGGCCAGAGAAATGAGGAACATCTGATGGGTATGCATGGGCATGGTGCTTCGGGATGGTGTATTACAAGGTATAGAGAGCTCTGGGTCAAAACATGGTGATGGGGAGATATGAGGACCAACTTCTGTTCTGAAACATCTTTTTCTGCTTTGAGAATGTAATAGCCCTAAATATGCAAAGTTGGGTGTGACAAACGTGACTGGGAATCCCATATTGGAGAATAAGGGTTGCAGTCTTACCATAAAGAAAATATTTGGTGATTATATTAGCTGGTGTATTTGCAAGAGATGACAGTAACAAAAACCAACAACAACAAAAAAAATGAAAATGTGATACATTTTCTCCTTTAGGCTTAAGTAGTGAAGACCTTCCTGCTGTGCTTAGATACATAAATTTGCTCTCACTGAGTAGGAAAAGGAGACACATGGGAAATAATATACTTGTTTCTCTTGCACTTAATTCCCTCTTCTCCAAATCTAAACCGACCCTGGTCATTGATTTTTAAGAGGGACAGTAAAAATGTCCTTGTTTCTGTAGTTTTCATTTCGTATTAATCGAGCACTTTTTTGTTTCCTAAAATGTGTTGATACTGTAAAAATCTAGAAAGCTACTACATTTTCCAAGTTATCATGATCTGAAAATCACCTAGTTGGTGATTAGGTTGGTTATAATTTTTTTTTATTTGACAGCTGAAAACGTTAGCCCTATGATTATCTGTGTTTTTGAAAAAATTGAAAGAATAACTCTACACAAATTACATATTGCATTTTTTTATTTTCCTGATTTGTACCTCTTAAGTTCCATCTGTTGTTCTGAATTTTGTTTGAGGGGAATGATGAAAATTTTCCTTTTGAGGTAGACCAGAGTCTGCTTTCGTGGACTGGTTGCCAAGTCTTGTCCTCATGACAGTAAACAAACATTAAAACAGAGTGAGAATCCTTTGTAATTCTCTAAGTATCTTAAATAGTTTGGACAAATGGAAGTGAGTGACTGGAGACTTAAATTCCAACAAGTCCCATCTTGCGTATATAGGATTCAGTAACTAGTCTTCTCTTTTTTCCTTTTAGAAGTGTAGAGTTCAGTTCTAAAGATGCACTTCAAAACCAATTTTTAATTTACATGATAAATCTTCTGTGATATTTTCATAAACAAAATCATATTCCAACAAAGTACTGCTTTTTCTTTTGCTAATGTTTTTCATCGTTTCATAGTTTTAAGAGTACTTTCTTTACTGTACATTGAGCCTGAATCAAAGATATATTTGCTTCCAATGACTTTGAGTATTTAAGAATATCTTGCATTTCAAGACTGTCATTTTACTTTTGCCTGAGTTGGATGCATCAGCAAAAATACGAATTTTATTTAAGGATTCTATTCAAGATGGCATGAATAGCTATTTCTGGAAAATTCATCTTCTTTCTGTGAGAAATGGACAGTGATTTTGGTACAGATGCAACATAATATTTTTCAGAAAAGTATGTTTCACCTTGGTAGCTTTCATTGTATCTTTTTTAAACTTTATTTCTGTGACAGCTTTTTGGAAAGGCTAAGTAAGAAGCTAAAATTGGAAAATCTTTGAAGATTTTTTTAAACATATTTGAATTATTATTTTTAATAACAGATTAGGAATGCTTCTGCTTTCTTCACTTTCAGTGTTCAAATTGGCAAACTAAAATTGGTAGTAAAAATGATGATTTTATGTTTTTTCTTTAATCTTACATGAAATATTTGCGTAATATTCTCTGGTTCAATCAAAAGTTCAAAAAGACTTAGAAATAAAAACCATTTTAAGTGGTCATTGTGTTTAAAGAAAATAGAAAGCAGAAAGCTTTAAGCACCCCAGGTGAAGTAACAGGGTGCATTCTATAGACAAAACTTGCAGTCATAGTTAGGCTTTTAATAATGCAGTGAGACATTATTAGAAAATTACTCATTAACAATGATAACCTACTTTGGACTTAATAGTTATCAAAAAGCCACATAAGTTCTTTTGAAATACCATTATTGGAACATAATTTATTTTTATACTTTTTTCCCCCCGGAGAATGACTGGGTAATCTATTTTAAAGAGTATTAAAAAGGACAAAACCAAGCATTTGAAGAGACTTTTTTTGTTTGAAGGATTTTGTGCATCACTGACATTTAGTTCTCATTTGCTGAGAGAAAGAAAAAGATCAAGTATTTATGGTCACTTAAAACGGTCTCGCTGCAGTGTTAGAAAATCAGAACTGAAATACTTTCTCTGGCAAACCATTTAGCTACTGTTTTCTAGGCATAGAAGATAAAAACAGGATATTCCTTTAAAAAGATTAAAGTGCTTGAGAAGCTAATTTAGGAGGGTTTGAGTTGAGGACTAAGACAGAAATAATGACAATTCAGAGCAAAGACCAGATCTGACTGTTTATGAGGACACGGTCTTCAGCAGGTTGTCTATGAATTTTTGAACATTTAGTCTTGGAAAAGAAACAAGTTTATAAAAACAGTGGTACACCCTTTTCACGAGGAAAATATGTTTCTTTTAGTGTCTGAAATTTTTCTGATTGCCCAGGATACTATTTGTGAGTGTTCATCTTAACCTTATTTTCTTATTATGTGTATCCTGTGGTATCATGGCCTGACTATAGTTGATTCCTGACACTTAATTGGTCGGAGGAATACTTCTGTTCGTAAGTTGCTAGGTATGAGTGAGAGCCTGCCTTTTATCAGTGGTCAGAGTGCTCCGTGTTTCCCTTAAAATAATTTAGAAATTCTTTAAAATGATTTTCTGTTGGTTTTGAGGATGAGCTTCCATATTCACACTTAAAGACCTGAGTTTTTTTCTGTATTTTAGTCCCTTCTTCTGAGATTTCTCAGGCAGCAATAGCGATGAATTAAAATGAATACTTGAACTAGAGAACATTAAGGACTTACATGGGGTGGATTGAAACATGACTTTGTATTCTAGTTGAACAGTAACAGGTTACTTAAAAGGCTGGATAATAGAAATTTAATAATAGCTATTAATATGTATTGCTAGGGAAAAGTAATACAAATTTGTACCGTGAACTGCAGGTTAATTACTTTTTAAATGACAGCAGATGAGAACGACCATGGTCTTATAACCTGGTAGCAACGCAGCTGAGCCACCAGTGCAATAGGGTGGTACAGCAGCAGGTGCTCTCCAGTCTGTCAAATCAGGTATTTCCAGCAATGGGAAAAGTGTTAGTGTCACTGCATAGAGACTTGTAAGATTTCTTCTACACTTATCTTCCACGCATTTCTAATCACCCAAGAAGGATTAGTTCTAACTGGAGTGGTTGCAGGGAGGGCTACCACAATGATGCCAGGAACAGCGAGTCTATTTTACAAGAAGAGTTGAAGTTGTTTTGACAAATAAAATGAAGGCTGAGATGATGCAAAATTGCTCTCCACAAAAATAGGGGAGTTGGGCTTAGTCGCCCAACTGCAGGGCCTGTTGCGATAGGACAAGGGGTAATGGTTTTAAACTAAAAGAGAGTAGATTCAGACGAGATATAAGGAAGGAATTTTTTATGCTGAGGGTGGTGAAGCACTGGAACAGGTTGCCCAGAGAGGTGGTGGATGCCCCATCCCTGGAAACATTCAAGGACAGGTTGGATGGGGCTCTGAGCAACCTGGTCTAGTTGAAGATGTCCCTGCTCATTGCAGGGGGTTGGACTAGATGTCCTTTAAAGATCCCTTCCAACCCAAACTATTCCATGATTCTATGAAAAATACTAATGGGAATAAATATTAGTCAAGAGCAGTGCGTGTTGCTGTTCAGTACTGGCGCAAGAACAAATGATATCTGATTATGAATACATTGGAAATATGGAACAAGTTTTCTGGCAGTTAGGAGGGAGTATCTGGAACAGACTTCCAATAGGAGTAACAAACACAGAGTTTTGTGGAAGCTTTTTGTTTTGTTTTTGTTTTTACAAAAGCAGAATAAGAACAACAATAACAACATGGAAATTATTTTAAGAACTCAGTTTATGAAAGCAGTTGATTTTAGATTTGTTTGAAAGCATTCCATGGTGGTGGAAAGCTGGATTTGATGGCCCTCACTTCTGTATTCCATGTTTGGCTATTTTTCTATTAATTTTGTCATCTATCCATTTAGTATGTCTGTTCATTGTTCTTGTCAGAGGCTTTCTGTTTTAACCCGTTATATCTTTATTACCAGTGTGTGGGTTTACAGATGTATATTTCTGCCCTAGAACTATTTAGAAACCTAAGTTCCTGCTTAAGTTCACTTAGTATGAATGAGACAACAAAGACTGTAAACACTGTTAATTGAGTTAGGGCCAGAGGGATTAAATTATTTGCTTCAGTTAATGCAGGAGGTTGTGGCATAGCAGGAAATTGAACTTGGATCTCCTCAATTCTAGCTCTTTGACCAACTGCAAAATGTTTCTTTCCTCTAACATTCTCACTTTAAAGTTCTTCATGTTTCTTTCACCACGTTGATCAGCCTGAGACCTACCAAAGATGCAGCAAATTACTAGTACAGATTAGATGGCAATTTATAACATTAAGAATGGAACCACTCCGATTTTTAACAAAAAATGCTGAAATTTTCCCAAGAGTGATGATATTGTTTTGAATTATCACACATATATAGTATCTCACATAAAGTTTTAACATAAATCGTTGAAATTAAAGGTCCCCATTTTTCTTTTTCATGAGGGGCTGTTATGTAGCTAGGATGTCTGCCTGAGAGCCATACGACAATATTAATTTCCCATTGCTGTTGCACCTGGAAACTGAATATAGTGGTGTTGTACCCCTAAAACAGACCAGGTAGCTGGCAGCATCTGTAATGTATGGTTGTAGGGCTAAGATTTGGTTGTCAGACAGGTCCTTTATCAGGCAGACACCACTGCAGCTGAATGAAATACTGAGCTGCTATAACTTGATTAGCTGATACTTTTGAAGATGGCCCATTTATGTCTCTATGCAGTCTTTATACAAAGTCTGTGGACTTAAATTTGGGAACATCTTTTTTTAAAGAAAAAAAATATGTAAGTTCGAGTGCATTTCTCAGTTCTCTGACAAAGCAAAAGTTCTTACTTACGGTAGAAGTTTGAATGACATTGTCTTAAAGGGGTGGGGGGGGACGGGACACATATGACACACGACAACCAAAAAAACAAACCAAAAAAACCCCACCACATTTTGTTGCTATGGTATATTTTTTTTACAATGAGAAAATCCTTTGAAAATGCCAAAACCCAGGATACCCTGCCTGACCAATTAACATTATCCCTTTTATAAGGAAAACCTGGAAGGTTCAAGAGAATCAGTCCTTTTGTCTTGAAAACTAGCCTCTAATTCACTCCAAATATGCCATCATTATGTCATTCACTGTTCTGGTCACAATTAGTAACTTAATATGGAAGCAGAGTAATAGAATGGCATAACAAGACATTGTGTTGTCACACTGGACTGAAACATATAAATTATATATTACTGATTGTAAGGTTAATGATACTCACTTATGGACTTATTGAGCCTTTCAGGCTAATAGTTGATATACAAAGAATGCATTCAGTAAATATACAATATAATAGAAAAAAATTTTAAAATAGACGTTACAAGAATTGATTCACAGGTCTTCTGCCTGTCAGTCTTATATGGAAAGAAGCGTAATATACAGAACTGTTTCCTTAGTGTTTAACTGAGCTGTGAAATCCCTGTGAATGGAAAATGATGCAGGTGCTAAAAGCATACATGCTATAAAAACAGAGATAGGACAAATTTATGAAGTAAAATCTGGTAAGTCTATTTTGTATAAAAGGCAGTGCTGTGGCTTAAGCTGTGCTCCAAGTTGTGCTAGAGGCTGGTGAAACATTTTAGGGAGGTATCACTGCACTGCCTACTATGTTTTGTCTTCCTGGATATTTGTGGTTAACCTTTGTCCGAGACAGGATATTGAGTAAGATGGATCTTTGGTTTAATTCACTATAGATACCTTTCTGTTTTAGTATAGTTATATTTAAACATGTATGATAAATGAAATTGGGGAAACCCATTTCTGGCTATTAATTGCAGATTAAGTTTTACACCTTGAAGAAACCACCATAATGTAAAAACATACTAGCAAATATTTTCTAAAATGTATAGTTTGCTAGGTCCTGTATTTTTGCTTGGTAGGCATCCCTTTTTAATGATTGAATGTCTGTAATACAGAAACTGGACCACATTTCATCAGAATAGTAAGGTAGATAGATCACAAATCTTCAGTAAAATTCAGAATTACTTTCATTGATTATCTGGGAGAAACTATCAGAGATACATTTTTTTGAGCAGGTAGAGAACTTGGATGTGGCCCTAACTCTCCTGCATGCAGGTTGTAGAGCTTCATGGCTTTGAATTCCCTCCAAAGTGAGACAGCGCATAAGATTCCCTTGCCTGTCAGTATTTCTTAAATACAGTCTGAATACTGTATTGAGCAATTAAATCTTGTGTGGCTGAATGAAAGAGGATGATTTGAGTTCACTTTGGTTGTGTTTTGTGTCACTTTTCTATGCCAAACATATAACACAAATAAGCGCAAAAATATATATAAATACTTTAATCTAGATCTTTTTTTCTCCTGTGAAGTACTCCAGAAACTCTTTAGAAAGTTGTCATTACAAGAGGATCAGTGCATGTAATTATCCCTGTTTCCACCACCTTTCACTTTTTCCCCTCAGTTCAGCTTTAATGACAGTTTAAACTGCAGTTTTCTAGATGCCGTTAGCAAAACAGCTTTTAGACTTTTTGGACTGAAGATGAGAAAATACTAATTTGATTATGTATCTTCAGAGAATCAAATAGAGTAAAAGAGTGGTAGGGATGTTTCACACTGTATACTATATGACTTGACACTTTGAAAGTCACGAAGAGTAATCCGATGCCATGGATTATTTTATTGCCATATAGAAAAAATGTCACATATTAAAGATGTGAGCAAGTGTGTGGCTGATCAAAACCTGTCTACTCCTCTTGATGTGTTCAATTTTAACATGTTACACTTAGTGTACCAGACTCTATCTAGCTGTAATCGTAAAGTCTGTGGGTTTGTTCTCCTCATTATCCTGGAGCCATGTGTTTGGTTTTTTTTTTCTCTTTCCATTTAGATGCAGAGCCTGAAAGGTGGTACAGAAGCCATAGCCCATTTGGACCAGTTAGAAGCTGATTATTATGATCTACAGCTTCAATTATATGAAGTGCAGTTTGAGATCTTGAAATGTGAAGAGCTGCTGCTGACAGCACAACTTGAAAGCATCAGAAGACTGATGTCAGGTGCTTTATGCATTTTAATTAAGACGTAATCTGTAAAAGATAATTCTCTTCTTAAGAGTCTCGTAAAGCCTGTGGGAATGAAATGAGAACAGATTCTTCACCATGTAAAGAGGTGGATCTTCTAACCTAAGTACTGTTAAATTAAAATTTACACCTGTTCATAAGGCATATACATACACATACAGAAGTTTTGCTCTGGTTCTCCTTGCCTGTGTTTGGGAATAAGCGTATAAGATACTATGTAACTTTTGGAAAACTAAATTCAGGGAGGAGCAAATGTCTTAATTACTGGACTTGTCTCATTAAAAATTTGCATTGGTATTATTCATTTCTTTGAAGTGATTGGTTTTCAAAAGGTATTCCTGCAAATCAAGAGCACTTCAGCTAAACTTTGAAGCTTGTTGTATTGCCATCTCACTGATTTAGAGCAGTGATGCAAACCTTATGTTTCCAGAACCTACTATACCTTGTGTACTTACAAACTATGGAAATCGTAAGGTAAATCATACAGTGTTTTGGAATCCAGTTCTTTCCTTTGGACCTTTCTATAGTTAATGTTTTTATTCACACAAGCTTTGTTTTATTGTTTAGTGCATAGGGCTTGCATAGCAAATTTCATTATGGATAGAAAAGTCACTTAAGAGAGAGTTGAAGCTGGATTGTATTGTGAGTTGCCTCTGGAAAAAGAGAAAACATAGGTATCACAGATTCTTCTCACTGTTACGTGAATCTCCTCTTTTTAGGCTTCTGATGGCAACAACTGTAACTGCATGTATGGAAGATGAGGATTGAAAACTCTGTAAATGACTTAAAGAAATGTGGCAGCTTTGACTGGGTGCCTCTGTGGAGAGCTAGTTAGTGCTTTAGAGATAGATAGTTTTTGTACTTGAGAAATCAGACATTTAATTTTGGTACTAAAGGCACGGTATGGTTTGCTTACCTGCAGACTAAAGGAAATCCCTTGAATGGGAGGCTGAGAAGGATTGTGTATCAAAATCCTTTCTCTTTGATGTAGTGATAGTAAAACCTAGGGGCCCTCAGAGGTTAAGTCTGCTATAAAAACATCGTAGGTCATTACAACTTGTCACTAATGTTTTCTTCAGAAATCCCCCAAAAAACCCCAACCCCACAACCTGACCCAAAATAAAACAAAACCACCAGTCAGCTAAACAACCAACCCTCTCCTTCCCCCAGGGCAACAAAACAGTTCACTGTTCTGGCTTCTTTTGCCGTTTTAAATTTGTAGAGTATTCTTTAATACAAAATTCAAAAGTGTCTTTTTTCAATTAAAGACAGCTGTCTGTGTTAGAAGGAATTACTGTTTTTTAACAAGTCTCAGTTAATATCCCATAGGACAGAAAGTTAAAAATACAGTTCTTAAATGTGTGGGAATTTGGTTCAAAGGATAAAATTACCTTTTTGGACTTTACTTAGGTGGAGGGGATAGTACAATAATGTGAAGAATATGACACTGAAGTGGCTACATACCTTCAAGACTGTTCAGCACCTAATCTGAATGAAAGCATCTAAAACACATAGTGGTCTTTTAATATGTGTTGTTTCCTATGCAGTCAAAGAGAAAAGAATGGTCTGTTGCATCTTCCGTTATGCTTCCTTTTTAAAGTGTACTTACAGTCAGTAAAGTAATAGCCTTTTAATAGTGCACATCTGTATGATTTGAAATACATGCGTATTAGTGACTTGTAGAGGCTGTTGCTATTCTTTACTCTGACTGTATTGGCTCTGTAGAGATATTTCAGAGTTTTGGATTCTGTTTTGATTTGAGGGACCTCAGCAGTACTGCTAATGAAGTCCCAACAGAATTTTTTGAGAGCGTGATTTGATTTGACTGCCAGTTGGTTGTAATCTAGAAGAAAAACATTTTCTTTTGCAAATTCAGCACATTGGATCTGAAAAGTATCAAATGATAATAGATTGTCATATTATAAACAACAGTAGTAGTTTTTTACTGTCATTAACCAAATACCTGCACTGAAAGTCACAAAACGTGAATTTATTAGGTTAGAATTTTAAAGGGTCTTATCCTATCCATACAGCTATTTGTATATCCTTGTAAGATGGTTTTGTGGTGGATGCATTGCTGTCAACAGAGGATGTCATAGTAGGTTCCTGCTTTGTTTGGAGGGTGGGTTGAATGAGTGCGAATGGTGTGGATCGTATCTAAAGAGGAATAATTCTCATGGTTTTATTTTAAGTGGTTGAGTCATAAGCTTAAGCACTTACCAAATTTATAGACATTTCAAAAGCTTAAAAGCTGTTTGTAGGAAACTCTTGGAATGTTTGATGGAGGTTGCAATAGAGTTGTCAAGGTTGGTTTTTTTTTTTTCAAACAGTAAAACATAATTTAACATTATGTTTTAGAACTGGTAGATTTGACTGGTTTGCAGCTGAGCTATTGGGGTTTCACTTGTAAATTTCTGTCTTTAACTCTGCATGAAAGTGTTCTAAAACAACATTTACATGTAAATTCTCCCATTTTATAAGTGCATGGCAAAATATAATTGTTGTTAGCCATGAGTCTTATTTTTACTCACTGATGTCTCAAAGTGGGTTCTAGTGACTTGGCAGTTTTACGTATGAATGAAACTTTATGTGTTGGGGTTTTTTAACTGAGCACTAAAGAAAAGAATCTAGTAGGTCTGATTTTACCAGTTTTTATTTTAAGGTTAGTATAGTGCTGTGCTTTCTTTTCTGGTCCTGCCATGTCTTCTGCTGAGCTGAAATTAGCATGACAATCAGAATTTTGGTTGCAGCAGAGACTGTACACAAATAACATGAAGTGACAATGGCTTTTAAAATGGACAGTGTACTGAAGAAAACCCTGCTCCTCTCCCCAAACAATCTAGTAGCAGTAGGAGGAGGAGGTTATGGTCTTGCTGAAAGTAGTTAATGAAGTTGAAATGAGAAGGTTTGGTGGTGCTGCAGAGTAGACGCTTGACAGTCATGGCAACTGTATCTGCCTGTTTCAGCCAGTAGTAATGCATATCCCTCTTGGTGTATTACAAAAATATCATACTTGGTATGCCAGTGAAATAAGGAGTGTTGATAAAACTATTAGTAATGACCTCCTTTTCAGGCCTGTAATGCTTTGAAGGATTGCCTTGAAGTTAACCGCCCTCTGCTGCCTCTGAGCAGAAGCAGTGACTGGGAGGTCAGAAACCTCCTAAGAGAGGATATTTGGTGTTTTGTTGTCTGATTCCCCTTTCATGAAATTAATAGTAGGTTGTGGCAGAAGAATCTCATGTCAAAGATTTCAGAAAGTGTGTGTATCCTGAACTTCGTAGTGAAGACCAGAGGATATTACTGCACATTGTGGGTCCCTTAAGACACCCAAAGACATGCGTGGACATTGTGATCAAGATGGGCTACAGACACAAGCGTACATTTACAGTTGCATTTGTTCTTTAATGCTCTGAGCTTACCTGAATACTAGGCTGTGCTTCGTTGGTACTGACTTCTGTTCTTCATTTAAACTTTAAAGCCCTACAGTGCTTTGCTGTTCAGTGCTTTTCCTCTGACCTTTTGCTTTTTGATAGTCCTCTGAAAGGGCTATAGCATTCTTCTACATTAAATCTTGCAACTCAGTGGGGGGGTTGTTGTTGAACAGAACAAAATGTTAATCAAATACAAACTATTGATTTGACTTTTTCATTGCTGACATTTTTAAAACAGAGAAGAGAGATGAGGTGGTATATTATGACACTTACGAAAGTATGGAAGCCATGCTTGAAAAAGAGGATACGGCAACATCTATACACTTGCAAAAAGAGGAGCTGCAAAAGTTACAGCAAAAAATCCGCCAGCTGGAAGCAAGGCGTGGACGTATTTCAGCCAAGAAAGCCTACCTCAGAAATAAGAAGGTATTATTAAATTGCAAATTTCTAGCATAATTAGCAAATTTAATAAAACTTCAAAAGGTTTCCTTTCTGATACGAGTTCTGAGTCTCCCAGAATTTTTGTGGATTATATTTACTACTTACTAAAAGTTGTTTTACAGAGTACCAAATACAATAGCATGTATTATTAAATTGATATAGTTAAGATTCAATTTACCTTTTAGCTTTAAAGGAACCTTTAATCACTTTGATGTCAACAAATAAACTTGTTTATATTAACTAATCCGAATACTTCCATGTAGAAAGTACATGCTAGAATGCATGTTTTTACAGAGAGTAGTTTTATATACTTGCAGAAGAGAATTTTCAAGAGTGTTTTCTCACTAATGAGTTCTATTTTCATTCTCTTACCTCATCCTTTTAAACTTATGTCATGTGTCATTGATACTCTGTAGACAGCAGATACATATAAAATCCAGTATATATTCTTAATTTGTAAAACTAGATGTGCTATTTAGGGCCTCTTTCCTTTTTCATGCGTTACATGATTGGGAAGTTGTGCAGAAAATTGTTTTAATATAGCTAGTGTTTTGAAACTGTGTATCAAGTGTATGTAAATATGTTCATTCCTTTTTTCCAGAATGACTGGAAATTGTTTATTGTTCCCTAGCAGTTTGCAGTTACATGAATATGCATTATTAACAAGCAAGATAGCTTAATGAGTAGAATAGATCAAAGTTCTGAGAGACCATTGTAATACCTGTTATAAAATAGGTTTCTAACCCATATTATATACTATAAGGCTATGCAGAAGTCTCAGTTGAGATGTCGTTCTAGACTGGGATCGGGGGTTGGTGTGGTTGTATGTTCCCAGTCATGTCCCTTGATGTGGGAGATGACCCCTTTATATAAACAGTTCTAGTAGATTGAGGGTAAAGCCTTCAGGTCTTGCCTCCCCTTCATAACTAATATATCTATTTCTGTACCTGAATCTGAAGCATAACAGAGCAAACAAAACAGTAGTTCATCCATTTTATATTTTGGATTTTTTATATTTCTTCAGTCACTGTCCTGTCTCTGATTAACACAATATGGAGAAGACTGCAAATAAATTTTTATAAAAGAAATGTCTCTTGTTAGCCAGTTATGGAAATTAGTTTGCTCAGAGTCATTGAGCTTGTTTTATGTGAGTTTGTAAAAAGAAAAAGTATCAAGAAGCTGGGCTTTTTAGTACTTTAAGGAATAGATCCTATCTGTCATCTTATGCTGATTAATATAGGCTACATTATACTAGTCACGCTATTTTCTCCTGAAAAGACACTGCTGGCATCTTACAGAGTACACAAACCTGTTTAAAAGCGGCAGCCTGGTTGCTGTTCCTTACTTAACTTATGCGAGTGAACAAGTCGAGAAGCAACCCTGAAGCAGGAGCAGAGATATTTTAGCATGCCTTCTTATCTGCATAATGAACTAGTCACCTTCAATTGGCTCATTTGTTTCAAGGTTATGCTATGATAAAATACCTTGTTTAAGCTGAAGGAATTAGTTCTAGGCTGCAACAGTAGTTGCAGGATGCCTACTTGTGCACTGAGACAGGATGCAGAGCTGTATATGGTAGTATTGCTCATCTGGGTCTGCTTGCGGGAGTAATGTAGTCATGTCTGCTCAACATTGTGCTGGAAGAATGTGGCTATACTGCTTTCAGGACCTAATGTAATGTCTCCATGTGGAACTTCACTGCTGGACATCACAGCGCGGACATCACAGCGCTCTCAGAACTAGTTCCAGCTTTCTACTGATTTCGTTGCCCAGCGTAGCATTATCTGCATTTGGGTCCTGCAGTGTGAGATACTTAGCTTTCAGCTTCTAAAGCAATCACAGGTTAGAGTAACATGTATTTAAACTTTCAGGGGAAATCAAAGATTTTTATTTGAGCAAAAAGAATAGGCAGGATCAGTTGTTGTGTGCCTTTTTGCAGCACTTGCTGGGCAGAAAAGGACATAGCCATTTTGATGGATATTTATGTTAGAGGTATTTACTGTAGCTGCTCTTATTACTGCTGAATAACGCAGAGCCCTACTAAGCTTAATAGTAATTACCTGAAAATCAAGACTCTTGTGGCTTTGATTCAAACATAAACAAGCTTTGTATCTTGAGTGACCATTCTAGTGATATTGCAAAACATTGTTAATGAACACTAATTACAGTGCCTGATGTGGGTAGTTTTACTTTACAAAACTGGGAGGAAAAAAGGGTTCTTGCTCTGAAGAGTTAGCAGTTTAAGTTAAGCATGCAGAACAAAGATACAGATGGGATGCAAAAGCAGACTCTAGATGGTGAGAATGAGCACAGTGATGACCGAATGCTATGTGGAGAAGAGAATGAGTTTTTGAGGGTGCATTTGGAAAGTACATACTATGTGGTAAATCTCTTTCTCAAAGTCTGTATCTCTCAATTAAGAAACGTTTATTGTTGAACTGAGAGTCTACTTAATGCTTTTCAGATTGTGTTCCTGACCATGCTTGTTTCAGCAAAGTATCTTAGAACTGTAAACAAGTGTTCTGGTTTGGATTGGGTTGGTGAGGTTTTGGTGGGGTTTTTTCTTTTTCTTCTATTTTTTTTTTACCTTGTCAGTTCTGTAGTTGAAAACAAAAAGCAAGGTGTGCATTAAGTGGTGTATATCACAGCCTGTGATATATTTAGAAATTGCAGTCCTTGCTTATTATTAGGTTTTTGGCAACTGAAGATTTCCTTAGGAGAATGCCTCCTTTCTAGAAGCAGATATCATGATTAAGAAAACAATAGGAAATTATTCTCTATCATTAGCTTTTATTTTTCAGAGGAGGTCGTTTCATCATCCAGGTATTTGAAAATCTTTTCTGTTGAGGAGATAAAGCAGTGAAAGGGAATATATTAGTCTGTGTAGAATAAGACTATATGTAATATAAATGTAAATTTGTGACTATAGTCACCATTTTGTTTTTCAGAAATTCCTTCCCCGTTTTGGCAGTTGATGCTTTTATTTTTTAATGAGGTTGTCTAATAATTGTACCAAACTTTTATTTAGAAACTTTTGCTAAAGGTTTGTTAGAACCTTCATTCAGTTGTGATTTTGAATAACTGACACAGCATTTTTTAAATTTATGGTTTTACAGAGGTTGATGTTCTTTCACTGTACTACCATGAGTATAAACTCTTTATTCTCTTTTTTTTTTTTTATACAAACCTATTTGCATTTGTTAAGCAATCATTTCCTGATGTTCCTTTGTGTTGTTGACAGTGAGTTAGTTATTAAAAAATAAGATTTTAATAGCGGTCTCATTATTTTTCTTATTTCTTGAAAGCTAGATATGGATTTTTCATTAAGGGTATTGCTGTTGTTATCCCAGTCTACCCCCTGCTGGCTGCACAGTAGTATTAATTAGGTTATCATATGGAACAAGCAGCTGTTTTATTAGGGAGATAGATTTATAGCAAAGAGTCAAGGTAAAAAAGATGGTGTAGAAAGCGCAGAGAAAAATATCTTTGGAAAAACAGAGTTGTGAGGAAACTGAATTATTTTACATCCAGGAAGAGTATTCCTCATCATGAGCAGACTGGGAGAAGCAACTGGTTGGTGAAGCTGTTTGGGGTATGTTCATAATGTGTGCTTTGACCTAGGAAGCTTCCTCACATGCTGTTGTGTCCATTTAATAGGACACCTTTACTACTTTGCAAGCCCACAGTTTAAAGCATATCCCATGCCAAAACAGATGTCATGTAGATGCAGTGACAGCTGGCATAGGGTTACTTGGTATGCATTATTATTATTATTATTATTATTATTATTATTATTATTATTACTACTACTACTACTACTATTACTACTACTACTACTACTACAACAACAACAACAACATCATAAGGGTGTAACTACACAGAACACTTACAGTAAAATATGGTTTCTGCACATACTGAGCTTACTAAATGAGAAGCTAACCTTTTAATTGGGTTGCTTTTCAATCTGAAAGCAAGGCTCACTGGAACTAGTTAAATATAATACTAATGCAGAACTCTTTTACATATATTACATGTTACTAGTCTTAAACATGGTAGCTTATCCAGTGACAAGGGTTGAAATGGTTCCTCAGCTCTCCCTTTTTGTCTCTTTAATAGAAGAACAATTTGATACTGTGAAATCAGTCAGGTGATTAAAAGAGAAGTGAACATTACTTCTTGATGCTCTCTCAGCTCCATACAGTTGGTCAACGTCTTTCTTGACGTGTGGCTTTCACTGGACATAATGCTCCTGCTTTCCCAGTGCTGAGAAGGAAGGACTACTTCACATGTGCAGCAGGCTGTATTCCTGCTCATACACCCAATTACGAAATTTTCTTTTTTTGCCAGAGTTTGTCATCTGCCATAATCATCCAGATCACTTTCTTTAATGCTGCCACCTTGCTGTTTTTTTTCTTCCTCCTTTGTTTGCAGTCACTTAATCTTGTCTACAAGTAGAACCCTGCATTTGTCCCTATGAAACTGCAACCTTTCTTTTTTTTTTTAAGACCATTTCTGTAATTAGTTAAGATGATTCAGATTTCTAATCCTGTGCTGCAACATGTTTTCATCCCCACCTAGTCATAGAGGGATCTAATTACATTAAAGTAGGTTGTTTATTAGTGCAAAGTCAGTACCAAATATGTTTTGGTCTGGTTTATCGTCTTTACATGCTTAAAATATCTTTCATTATTGCTCTTAATCAGAAAGATTTAAATACTGATGCTAAAGAGAAAATGTTTCATGAAAGCGTGCCCCCCAAGTATCTATGAGACATGTCAAAAAACCCAAACCAAACCTAACATGTTTTCTCATTATTTTATAATACTTTTTTATATCTCATAACATACATCCCTCATTATTTTAGAAGACCTTTAGTCAAACTTAACACATAAATAGAGAATGAACTATAAAGGTAAATTACTAGTAGTAGTACAAAAAGTCTTTCAGATTCTCTAATAATATTCTGAAGCTATTGCTGTGTCTTTGAAATGTAGAAATGAGGTAGTTTGTACTTTTGCAAATTAAATACAAATTAAATGGATAAACTTTTCCAGCTGTATTAATTCAACTCTTTTCATCAGGGGAAAAAAACTCCACAAACAAACAAACATAAAACCCAGCAGTGTTTAGCTATGTATATACACCTCTGATGAAGCTGGGACAGTATTTCTGCAGAAACTCATGCTCTTGTCAGAGTGTCACCTGTATACGGTAGCAACAGTGATGGTCTTACTGTTTAGAAACATTCAAGACAGCATGGTATTTGCAGGAACAATGGCTACCTTTTTATGTGATCACAGTATATTCATAGCTTGTAGGAGAACGTAGCTTTTTCTGCATTTCCAAGTGTCCAAAATTGTGGGCTTTTTTTACCCTTCCCCTCCTTGTTTTTGTGTCTTTCTGCCACTACTGTAGTATCTTGCGTCATGGCTGATTACTCCATCAGCTGCCCCAAGCAATGCTTTCAGTGGCAAAGCTCCTGTCTGGCTCCACCCAGTAAGTCAAGGTGACTGATACCTGGGAAGCCCATCGCTTTGGTATTCTTCTAGTGGCAGTCACGCTCCAAACTGCTTCCTAACACTCCATGAGATCTGTTTCTAACTACACATCCGACTTTGTTCTAGTTCTGTGTGGTGCTTGTACCGGGCCTAATTTCATTGCCCATACTGTCCGATTTCCTGGCCCTCAGTATTGTCCTATGAACTTATCTGTCTTGTCGCTACTCTAAATTCCTGCACATGCCTTTTCTTTGTAACGGATGCTTAATTCTGTTCTTTTTATATTATCTACCTGAAGTTTGAGTGTCATCCTGTTTCTTGTCATCTACTGTAACGGCCTCTTGGTTTTTGGTTTTTTTTAACCTGTTCTTATCTGCAGGCAATGTAATAAATGCCTGTTTTTAAACCAGATGTTACAGGCGTGAACTCGGTATAATAAGTGAACCTGCTTGTGCATGCATAAAATTGTAACAACTTTATTAATGTTTGTGCTTGCAGATTGTACATGCAAAAGATGAACTGACACTTGTAAATGGGAAGTTGCCTAGTTGCATAAACAGAAATACGTAGTATACTTGAGAGGTAGTTATTATCCATGTATACAAATACATGGAGTTACACAAGGGTTTTATGAAGTATTTTACAAATTGGTGTTTGTTGCCACTTTTGTACTGGTATTGCAAAACAGACTTTTCAAGCAGCTGTTACTTGTGTATATTCTTTTGACAGTTAAAACTAATATGTTTGAGTTTGTCTATCTTTGTTTTGTTTCCATTTTATCGTTTTATCATAAATTAAATTAGCTTGGTTAAATTAGCTCGTCTAAGATAGGCTTTGTAATTTTTATTTTTTGAATTCTTAGTGCTATTCGGCAAGTATGACATTATACCCTGTAAATAGATATTTGAAATTCATATTTTATAGATAACATTTTATGTCTCTACAGGAGATCTGTATCGCAAAGCATAATGAAAAGATCCAACAGCGTCACCGGAGTGAGGAAGAATACAAAATGCACCATACCGTTCAGCTAGTAAGTTTGAGTTTTCTGCTGTTGAGTTTAGCCTTTAGTTAATAACTTGCATTCCTCATTATACTTTAATTAGGAGAGTATTCAGATAGTTGTTCTAAAAAGATGGTGTATATCCCTGACCTTTGCACCATGAATTTTTGTATCATATTATGCTGGTAAAGGGGAGTATATAGCTGTGTTAGGATGACATTGAACCCAAGCAAATAAAACAGTTCTTTAATGCTAGGTTCACAGTCTAAGTGATTACTGCTAGGGTTAGGCTGCATGCAGTTTGTTATCACGTGCACATAGATGATTCCAGACCTGTCTATGAGTACAGCGTCAGATATGCTGAAATGAGTAAGGAAACCGTACACATTTATTCTTAAATCTTAGTAAGCTTGTTTGTTATTTTTCTTCTTTCTGCAAAAGAAATCACTTGAATTTTGTTGTATAAAGATGTAGCTCCAGCTGTATGCTCCACAATTCTCTGCACAGTCTCATCACAGAGAATAGGGTAGCTAGTCTGACTCTTGTGCTGAATACAATAGACTTTATGTTAAAGAATATTCAAATTATGGGCTAGCTCTTGGGAGCTGATATAGTATCAATATTTAATAAAGATCACTGACAAAGATGCATTGAAATCCAAGTCTCTAACTCAGGCTTCAGTTAGATTAGTGAAAGTGATTCTATTTCATCCTTATACATTTTTAACATTGATACATTTGTTCAGGAAGTCAGCTGCATAATTTATTTTATGCAAAGGCTACTTGTGAAAGACAGTACATATTGGCATACTCTTTCAGGAACTTAGAAAAATATTATCTTTTTTCAGTTCTTACAATAAGGCAAAGGAATTTGCTGTGTGGATTGTAGTCCATTTATCACTCTTAAAAATAAGACGACAAAGCTGAAGGACTTTCTTGTCTGTCAAACACTACAGGGCTTTTTCGTTATTTATTTCATGGAGTTGCCCACTTGCATTATATAAAGAACCTTATGCTAATTTTTTTTGTCTTTTTTCTGTTAATAATGTGACTGAAAATTAATACTATTACTGTAAAATAGGTTTTCAGCCACTGGTTTTCATAAAGAATTTTGAAAAGATAACCTCAAGGGTGTCCACACCTGAAACCAAATAAGAATTGCGATTTCACTATTCTTATTTAGAAACAAAACAAAACAAACAAAAAAACCCTTGAGTTTGAGACTGCTTCAGGAAGAGTTTGACCTGATTGCGTATGTAACATGCAGTTGTGGTGGTAGAACTGTCCTTTCTTCATGCTATAATATTTTCTTTATGCATCTCTTTTAACTTCTTTGCCCCTGGGAAAAGAAGTCTGTTATTTTCTTTTCATCACATGCTTCTATTCCTCTTCACCTTTTCCTGTTTCCTGTCCTTACTATTTTTCAGACATGTTCTCTTCTTCCTCTCCCTAATGCATCTATACTTAACCTCCTTCCAAATCACAGGAGTGGGCTCTTTATGAAGGACACCAGGCCACTAGCTGATTTCTGAAAACGGCAGGCAGGCAGACACTGCTTTTGTGTTGACTGAATGACAATAAAAGTTCACAGAAGTGATCAGAATTTTTAATTGTGATGACAAAGATGGGCTGTTAAAAGTAATACTTAATGCTCTGAGTCTTTTAAGAATTAAAGCTGCTGTTTCTGCTCAGCATTTTTTCTTTATGGTCACCTGTTCTGTCACTTCTGATAACTTCTTAACTTGTGTACAAAGACTTTTGCCACCTGATAACTAGCATCTACTTCTAATAAATTTGGCTGAAGAGTAGTGTTTTGTTTCAAAGATGCAGTAACTTTGCTGAAGTTTTCTGAAAATGGGTGACTAGTTAAAGGAGGTGGATCTAAATGTGTGTTTTCACTGAGGTAAGATCCCCAAACAAGAAAAAATACAACTGTCTTAGCTGCAAGGAAGAGCTTCAAACCTTTATTGAAGTAAGATTACAGAAAATCAAGCTGGATTAAATAATGACAGCTTAAGTTAATTAAATACAAAACTTTCATTTATTGTTATAAATTATAATGAAAATGTTCACTTAATTTGCTCAGTATCGGATTCAAAATTTTGTGGCACTGAGTTCTGTGATTTCTTGCACTGTGAAAATACTAATATGACTTGTTTTAAATAGGCAACCTTTCAATTTGGACTGTCATTTTGTTCATGAAATGAGAGAAATGGATACTGGTTTGCTATCTGGCTAATTTATACCATTTTTAATTAAAGGGGGCTTTTTTCAGTCTAATATTCTGTCATGTCTCTAGTTATTTCTCATCTTTCAACACAACAAGTCTTCAAGTGTTCCAATTTCAGATTGAAATCTTTCTTTACTGAGCTTTGCGTTTCTTTGAGATTATAAAACATGAAATGCATAATATTTTTTAAGGGGAAGACAAAGGCCAAGTTTTGAAGTTCAGAAATGTGTTTATTTGAGAAGTAGATTGTTAGGTAATTCCTAACAATTAGTAGAAGAGTTCTGTTAATTCAGTTTTTTTCATGATGCTAAAAGTAGCATTGGATGCAATATTTACATGTTTTCCATGTATTTTCTCAGAAGCGAGATCAATTACAAGATGAAGAGGAAAGAAAGAGCTCCTGGGTTAGTCAGGAACGACAGAAAACACTGGACAGACTTCGCACATTTAAACAGGTAACAGAAGAAGAGTTGTTCTTTTCCACCAGTTTCTTTTGCAAAAGAAATTTTCACTCATTCCAGGACTATACTACGCTATTAGCTATTCTCTTTCATTATATAATTAACTGTTCTTTGGAAAATTTACAACAAAATATGGCATTGATGGTAAAGAATTCCTTTGGCCATTACATTCCCAGTGCCATAATAAGCTTCTGTTCACTCTTACATCTACACCTTGTGACAAGACACTTAGCAAACGTTCCTAAAAGAAGTACAATCTAAATGGTATTTCCCACAAAGAGCATTACCATCTGGCATACCCCCATTACCACTGATGCTAGAACACCTGCCAATACCTGCCCCTTCCTATTACAATGTAAATATCAGAAAATGGGTAGAAGATGGAATGAAGGGGAGAGAATAAGGAAAGGGGTGAAAGTGCAAGAAAACAGAGACTGTATTAATTGGTGAAGACTTTTTCTGGTTTTGCTGAATACATTAAAAAATATAGGTATGAGAAGTTTCTTTACTGGAAAGCTGTCTAGCTCAGCACTACACTCTTCATATCCTTATTGTTTGCAAGGTTTTTGAATTGCATAGCTTCTGTAAATTAAAGCAAATTTACTTATTTTAACCAGCAACTGTTAATGAGCTGACTTGATGTATAAGCATGTTTCTATTGTTATGATCTCTATTGCTTTAGGCCTGCCACAGTTGTGTAAAATGTATTAGACCAGTCTTTCAGAAGGAGTTCAAATTTTTGCATAAAAATGGCTATGGATGAAACTAATATGGAAAGACAGATACTGAGGCAGAAAATTTAAGAACTAAATTAAAAATACTTCAGAAAGTCTCAAAATGTTTGATGTTTTCAAGAGATACCTTTTTAAGCAGTATGACTCACATCTAAGGCCAGTGCATTAGATCAGAGAGGACTTTGTTGCAGAGGGAGCCATTGACCAGTTTTAGAAAAGGAAAGCAAGAGGGAATTTTGAATTTTAGTTTTCAGAAAAAACAGTTTTGAATGTACAGTCTGGTTCTTAGTGAAATCCTAATTCTAACCCATGTATATCCCTGACTAGACCAATCACATGTAAATTGTGGCTTAACCAAGAATAAAAATTAAGAAAACGGATCATTTTTGCATAAAAGTGAGGATATATTTGCTTTGTTTTTACATCCAGAGCAAAAGGAATGAAAATAGCAGATGAATTCTACTTGTCAGAAAGGCAAACCCTAATAACAGGTACTTAGTATCTAGAATAGTGCGTTGCATGTACTTACCTAATTGTCAATAACTTATTCACTTTAGCGGTACCCTGGGCAAGTAATACTTAAATCAACCAGACTACGGCTGGCTCATGCAAGAAGAAAATGTGCAGCCAGCTCAGTGTCCTGTGTCAATCAGCCTCAATCTTTGCCAGCAACCATACAAATCCAAGAGAAAAGCGAAGAGGTGGAATTGGAAAATGCAGTTCAGCCTTTGCAAGTGCAGGAATCCACAAGCTTAGAACAACTTCAAGATGTCTCGTTACCTCCCAATGGTGTTACCTCTGAACTGCCTTATGTTAGTACTTCTCCACTCACCAGTAACGAGCTTCAACCAGACACTGTTACTGTAGTACCGCTTCCACCCCCTTTGCCTCCACCACCTCCACCTCCGCCTCCACCTTTGCCCTCCAAGGAAGATGCCACCAAATCCTTAGAGAAAAGTGATGGCTTTGTTAAACGTCAGAGTGAGGAGAAAGGAGTCCAGCACTCTTCTGGTGTCCCACCAGCACATCTGTTTGATAGCAGTCAGCTAGTCAGTGCCAAGAAGAAGCTTAAGAAGACTGGTGATCTAGAGGGTTTACAGAGGAGGAGAGGTAATATTTTCATTTCTGTGTATTTAATTGTAATGCACATCAGTTCCTCTTTTGAATTGCTCTATAGAAAAGTTTATGCTGTGATTCATTTATAATTATTAATGGGAAAGTTGTTAAATCCTTTTCAGTTGACAAATGCCGGCAACTCAAACAAATGTTAGGACCTTTACGACAGCATGCGGTATACTTGTTCAGTTAGACAAAAAACACTTGTGAAACTGATTTTACGATATACCATATTAGACTAGCTAGAAAATGGAGCTAAATGTTGCCTAAAAGAATCTTTTCCTATCTAGTTTACAGCAGCACTGCAAATACTATGTGCTTCACCTGAGGGTGCAGTGGTTTTTTTAATAACAAACAGAATTTTCCATAATTTATGACCTAGTAAAATGAATGCTTGTCTTGGGACATAGGAAACCTTGAGAATGCTATCTTCAAGGTTTCTTCAAATTTTCATACAAAAATCCACAAACCCTCAAGTACCCTTGAGAGCTGAGTAAGAATATATACGTTTAACTACACTTGGAAATGAAATCTGTAATCATTCAGCAAAGCATGTTAATAAATAATTAAAAGATTAAAAACTTCTTTGGAAACTGAGAATGAATAGAGCACAGGGCTGAGCTGGGAGATCTGTTGGTTCTTGTTGATTCTGTGCTGCTTGTTTTTAATGGTTTATCCTTTATCCCATATATAAAATGGAGAGAATGGCAGCCATGTTTATAATGGTTTATAACATCAAATAATCTTGGTGTTTCAGTGAAACATGCTATATTGGAGCTAAGTTTTTATTTGAAAATCAGAGATGGGATTTTCAAAAGCTCTCAGCTGAACTGTTTTACTGGAAGTCACTGAGAAAAAGTACCTTGAGTGGGCCCTGATTCACACTGCTGTAATATGGCTTTAATAAGATTTTATTAAAAATTCTATCTGGCTCTGGCAATTACAACTACAGAAAATATCCCTCCATTGACATTTTCCCTCATCCAGATAAAATAAAAATTATAACTGTCTTCATAATCAGACAGAAACAAGACTGTTTCCTTTAGAATTGTCCTTAGATGACTGAAAACCCTTGAAGCAACTGCATAGTTACAGAACTCTTAAGCTCTTACGAGTCTTGCAAGTCGCAAGTACAGTGTCTTAAGTTCATTATCAGTTTTGATGCTGCTGTGCTCCATTTTTCTTTTTCTGTAGTCCTAGTGTTTATTTCTCTGACACCTGTTTTATCTTGCAATCTTACATAAAGCATGTATTGTGTGTGCAATTTGATATGCATCATAAAATGACATATAAAATCAAATTATATCGTCCCTCTTAGGAGTATTGTTAATGTCTGCAGCAGCACTCTACCTGCTGCTCTCTATTTCCTGAGATGTTCCAAGTCTCTAAGTGGCTTCAGAAATTTGTCTCCGTATGACAGACGAGTGTTTTACAATCCTTCCTTCCTTCCTCCTTCAAATGTGCAGCCCTGTATTCTTCTTTTATTTCTCTTTCCCTCGTGTCTGTTCCAACTGTCTGATTAGTTCCATTAGTCTGATGGACAAAGCCCACTCATAAATGCAAACCTGGTTTTAAAAATGTATTCTACAATATACAAAAAAGAACTGGATATGGATATTCATCTATTGATTGATATGTGCTGCACATTGTATGTATGAGTGTATGCAAGCTATTTCAAACTGTTGTACTTTATTATAATGCATTCTCTGGGATAGAGATCTTACCTACTTGTAGCTCTTCAAAAAGCCAAAGCCTGACTTTTATTTCTGCAGAGAACTGGTTTCAAATTGGTGACAAAGGAAGGATTTGTCATAAAGTCTTAACTCTTACTTCTCTGTTTTCATTAATTACAAAGGAATTTATATAGGCACACTGTGACTAGGTGCTAATACATGAATCCAGAGAAGCCGGAAAATGCATGCTGTTGCAGTTGACTATACTGCTGCTTCCCTCACTCCCATGTAGTAATAGTCATACAGTAGGTAAAATGAGCCACAAAATGCAAGTGCTGAGAATGGACTACACAATCCAATACTTAAAATACGTACTCATTACCTGAGTTTCAAAGTCAAGAAAGATAAGGTAATAAACACTTTCATTGTGTTGGATTTATTGCAGCTGTTTTGATTTTCCTGACTGCAAACAGGAAAGCCATCTGGTTCAAAAAGTTTTACTACCTGCCTGATAGGAGGTTAAGTGGTTCCAGAAAATATAATTGTCTGTATAAACCAGTTTTGACCTGGTAATAGGGAAGATAAATTTGGAGGCTAAAACAATAGTGGAGCTACCATTATACTTATGGTATGGGACTATCACATTAATAGTATGCGGCTACTTCTTGGTCTGTAGGAAATACAAATGAAGACTCATAAAATGTAGTAAAAATAATACTGAAGGTCTTTTGATTTACTGCAGTGAGCTCCCCGATGGATGAAGTGCTGGCTTCCTTGAAACGTGGCAGCTTTCACTTAAGAAAAGTTGAGCAGAGAAGTCTCCCTCCTTTTCCTGATGAAGATGATAGCAATAACATCTTGGCACAGATCAGGAAAGGGGTGAAACTGAAGAAAGTGCAGAAAGATGTTTTGAGAGAATCCTTTACAATTCTGCCTGATACTGACCCTCTGACAAGGAGCATCCATGAAGCATTGCGACGAATTAAGGAAGCATCACCTGAATCGGAGGATGAAGAGGAGAGTTTGCCTTGCACAGACTGGGAAAATTAACCTGTAATTAACCTACATTTTAAAAAAAATATTTCTTCAACACTTTTGTATAACAATAGCAGCTAAGCCTCAGGTTGTGCATTCTAGGAGACTTAGTATGAATGTGACTAAACTGTCTGACGTCCAACGTGGTAAAACATGCACATATGAATTTAGTATCACTGACTTTTCAAAGAATTTAAGGTTTATAGTAAGGAAAACTTTTTTTAGGCAACATCTTAGCCTTTTATTGTTTGAATACTTTTGCTGAATATTGACAGGACTGCTCCTATAAAAAGCTCTATTTTATTTAGTAAATTTGAAGGGACTGTTTGCAGCTTACCAAAAAGCTTTAAAAAGCTTTTAAGTAACAAAGCAGCACAATCACTCTTGGACACACCTTGTACGTATTTTCTAATTACTTCTGGCCTTGTAAAAATTTAGCATGTTTATCACTTCGGACTGAATAGCTCCAAGTGAAGGTCAATTCGATTTGACTGCTGAACACATTGAAATCTCATTGGTTACCCTGTGTGACTGACTCTATGATAGCTTGGTTTCAATCTGTAAACTCTCTCACTTAATTGAATTTCCAGACTATAAACAGTAAATATACAAATATAATTTATACTTCTGCTACTCATATGAATCCCATGAACTTGCATTATACTAAGCTACAGTGCCTGAAAGTACAGATACTAGACTTCAGCAGATGAAGTTAATGGTTTCAGAACAAACCAGAAATTGTCAAGAGATTAGTTTTCAAAACTATGGCCGCATCAGTAGCACAAACAGCATACAGCACTATTCTTCTGTGGTGGTTCTTTTCTGCTACTGGCATGTGAATGAACATAAATCTCAATGAAAGCTCCCACTAAACTTAAAATTTGGAGAAAAGAGAGGTATGACAATCTGTAAAGAATTTAAAAATCTGTTTAGAAATCAAAGGCTATTTCAAGAGTATGGAAGATATTTATAATCCTTGCAACACAGCTAGCAGTAGGAAAAAGATAACCTTTTTGGATGTTTACAATCAGGCATTTATACCCTGGTTAGTTATTACCATAGCTGGAGAGTTACTATTGATAAAGTGCTACAACTGTTTAAAAAGTGATGGTGACTTAGCACATCATCCTGCTGAATGTTGTTGTGATTATGAAATACTATGTCTCAAACTGTTCCATTTTCAAATAATAATGTTTAAAATTTTGAAAAAGGAAAATAAATGTTGCCTTTATTTCCTCATGAACTAGCCATTACCCACCCTAATGATTTAATACTGTTTAATTATGACATGCTCCTTCTATTCCATACCAAATGTACTGCTAGTTTTGGAGTTGAAAATCCAGGAGTGGAGGTGTACTTAACTCTTGCTGAAACTCAAAGTGAAAATAATTTTGCTTTGATGTAACTTTTTTCTACTACTTGCATAATGAAAACTCCCACTACCAACAGCCCTTCAGAAATCAAGTGACAGCTGTAAGAAAAGACATGCCTTGGAATTGAATTGGCTTTCTCAGTGCAATTATTCTCTCTTCATTTCCTAGATAACTGAGAAAATTTAAACTTTGTGATTTGACTTTATGATTTTAGTAAATCTAACTTATTCTTTGGGATCTTGTTTGCATTTTTTAGCAAGAATACTCTTCAATACTATAGGTCATTTAAAAAAAAAAAGGGGAGAGGGGAGGAATTTATCCAAGAGTGACTTCGAATTTTTTTAATCTAGTTGGTGGACCTCCTAAACATTTTCCAGTGGAAGTGTGTCCTCTTAGAAGTCTTGTATGGCAGTGTACACATAATATAAATACACGTTTTCCTCTGCTGTCTTTTGCAGCCCCATAGAAGCAGTTCACAGTGCGGGTTGAAAATCACTGCCATGCAGTACTTGTAGTGCACTGGCATGCAAGCGCCATGCCATGTCTCCTTTTTACCAGTCTACAGTTACGGTATCTTCCCCTTTTAAGGATGCACTCCTGTCAAATGCAGAGGTCCCATGAAATCACTTGGACCTAAAGCAGGATGCAATATCAGAATTCTGAGTGTGTGCTCCTTGGAGTTCTTCACACATCTGGAACCTGCTTTCTCTTACCAATATCGTATTTTATTATGAAAACAATCCTGTTTTCATGAGGTGAGACTATTTGACAGATAGTACAGATTTGGTTGAAAAATGGTTGTACAAAATAGCTAACAGCTCAGAAAGGAAAGACAGGCCCCTGCTATGGAAACACGTGAAATAATCTGGGAGAACAGAGATTGAGACAAAGCCCTTGTAAAATTCAGCTGAATAAATACTTTTCACATAGATGAGTGTGCTTGCTTGAACATACAGGCTGGTTACCCAGAATTTATTACACAAGAGTAAAATCTAATGAAAGTCGTTGTAGAAATAGCAGAATAGTATTTTCTACTATAAGGCTATCCATTTAATACCATGCTTTAAGATGGACCTACTGATTTTTAACTGTAAGCTCTGCACATACAAAAAACAGTTGCATAGAGATTTTAGGCCGAAAACAGTTATACAAAAGTATATTGGCACATATGTATGAACTATGCTTAATACACGTACATCCTTATAGTCTAAATCTAATGCTATTATTTGCCTTAGCAGTGAGGCCTGAATCTGATGTAATGATGTATGTTTATCAAGTGCCAAAAAATGTCTTGCACATATGTGCAAGGAGTATTAACAATGCCCACTGAAGTGGTTTCATTAATTATTGAAGTCTGAACACAAACTAACAGTAACTAATTCCTGCAGGAGATCTAGTCATCTCTTGTATTATCTGCTTTATGAGTTAACTTCTACATAAAGTTATGACTAACTTTTTTAAGAGCAGTTCCTTCCTTACGGGCACTCTAAACCACATACAAAAATGTTGAGGCATTCTGTGTATTGGAAGTACAGCTGAACAAGTAGTATAAAGATGCAGTAGCTTCTGTATGAAAAGTCAGAAGATTACTGGTTATCAAAAGTATCCCAAGCCTGTCTGTGTGTGTATGTACGTAATGGTACACATAAATCACTATAGTACATTAAAAGTACTATAGGTAATGCAAAACCTGGGTTCCTGGGAGTGACGGACAAAATAATGGATAAGAAGTGAGCTTTTGCTCTCCATAATCTTCTAATCCAGTATATTTTGGGCCTCTTCAAACTCTAATGTGTTCATTGCCAATAATACCAGAAGGCAAAAAAAGACCTGGTCATACTCTGTGTGTCCTGGCTCCAGAGTTAGTGTGTGATTACCCTGGGAGCAAAGAGAACCAAGGCTTTTGAAGACGCTGCTCAGTATTGCATGTTGGAATTGCCTAACACGTTGATCAGAGAGTATTTGTACAGCTGTTTAGCTTTTCAGATGTTCCTTTTTTTTTCCCCCCAAACAGGTGATTCACAGCCACTGACGTAAGAAAAGAAACCCCAGTTGAAGATTACTTTTCCTCTTCATTTCTGAAAATTCAGAGCCAGCACTTATGACCATCAATTCCACAGGAGGCTTTCTTTGGCAAAGAAATAAGTCTTTCTTTGGCAAATGATTCAGTATATGGAAAAAATGGCCTGAAATGTTAATTTTTGGGTCACTTTTTTTCTTTAATTTGTTCCAAAAATTATGGTTTGGGCAGAAAGCTAAGTTGTTTAGATGTGCATTTTATATAATCAAGAATGCCCGATTCTTAAGCACTTTTTATATTTGTGTTAGTAATGCGTGGCCAGTTAAGTGAGGGGGGCATTTTGAGTTGGGAGAATACTTGCTTTTAGAGTAACTTTGGGATTCTGCCGAGACATCAAACCAGCTATAAAACCTCCCCTTCGCTGCACTGAATATATCCTCTGCTTGAAAATCCAATTAAATAGCTCCTTGCAGAGAAGCTTGCTATGTAGCAGTGTGATATTCCAGAAAGAGCAGAATTCCTGGCTGCACTACAGTAGCTGAAATTCAGTAACGTGCAACTACAACTTTTCTTCTTAGTTTGAAGAAGTGTATGTCAGTATGAAAAGTAACAAGTGACCACAGCACAATGAGAAACAGGAGTTTAATTTAGTACATACTCAAGAATGTGTTTCTTTCCAACATGGTGCATTCAGCAAGACATACTGCAGCGCCTTTTTAGAAGGTCATTTGTAGTCTTACACCTTTTTAAAGTAGATGTTTTCAGGCTTTTTTAAAATAATCTTTAGCTACGCTGAACCAAGTTATACTTTTATCATTTGTTATAAGAAGCAATATTTTGTAATTTCATACTTAAAATTATTTTTCTCTTTTGGTTTAAAATGGCTTTTGATTACTCCAAGCAGCCTTCTTTAAAAAAGATCAAAGCACTTAAACATACTGATAACTAAGTTGTGAAAATCGTGCTTCTCTTGCTGGTTTTTATTACTGTCTTTAGTGGCTGCAAAAATGTTTGCATTTCATACCCAAAAGCCTACTGGCTGAAAAAAAAAGTTCCCTTTTGGTCCTGACTATTTTTTTTAAAGGACAGTTACAACTTCCTCTGCGGTGAATACTTAGAAGTAATCCTAAGCTTCATGACTGATGGCTGCAGGTAGCTACTCTTACAATACCACAGTACTAAGGTATGTCAGTCCAGAGATACAAGTAGCCTTGTACCATCTAGAAACTCCCATGTGATATTAAAGTCAGCCTGTTACAATTCTAAGAAAGCTGAATTTTCACTAGCATTTTATTTTTACTAGCATGACATACACTGTGTTTGAGAAATACACAGTCCTTGTCCTTTGTGTACTGTGTTGCATTTACTGTTCCTCTCGTGACAGACAAACTCCTGTGTGGATTTGTTTTTTTTTAAGTGGAGTTCTGCATTGCTGCTGTCGTGTAATGGAACGTGTACTGTGTTGATGTTTATAACAGGAGATTTCACATCTTGCCATTTACTTATATAAAGAGGAACAGGAGAACTTACCGTAGCAATAGGCTATGTAACTAAAGGAACCTCAGCTGTTGGACCCTTCAGTTGTTTTGCTGTGGCTGTCCTGAAATTCAAGCTCTGTCAAACGTCCCAAAAGGATGTCACTTTACCCTTGCTATCAACAGGCATTTTCTTAACCTTGTTGCCTTATTTATAGTTAGTGAACGTTCATTTTCAAAGCACCTGTGAGCAGCGTTACTGTAGAGTTGTATCGATTTTGCTGTATTAGTCGTCAGGTCTGTATTCTTCTGTCCCGAGATCAGCTCTATGAAACACTTGATACTGGCTTTCCAAGGACCTAAAACCTCACAATGTTTTTTGTCTTAAACCGCTTCTCTGAACCCTGAGTTACATGGTGTGGCTGTAAGCTGTCTAATACTGTGTTCATGCAGCAATAACAGCAGTTTCAAAGTTCATCACAATCATTTGACATTGCCTGTACTGTAAGCTATGGTGTATTTTTGCTCTGCGTTTGTCTGTACTTCCAGTCACACCACACGTTAAAACCAAGGTAATCAAATAAATTTTTGGCTGTAGCACAAAGCAGAACTATGATGTAGAACGGTAATTCAGATTATACAGTTCATCTGACACTTAGTGCTAAATTAATAGTGGTGATTGAGCAACTTTTGTGTCCATTTTTTCCTGTTTTCCAGCCTGCAGTTTTATTCCTTAGAGTATGCATAGGGGACACTAGCTAAATTCCAAGCCAAGGAAAAATAGTGTAATTTTAAAGTATAGGTGCAATGGTCCACTTGCACAACATTTATGTCTGCAGTTTACCGGTGTGTTGTGATTTATCTAAATAACTCCACGCTGTACTGTACTACAGTTTTCAGATTTGTTTGCCATGTGATCTGTCATCCTTGCCTTGAAAAGTGTGTGCATGATTGAGAAAAATAACTGCCCTTAATCTGTTTTGTATTTAGCTGAAATCGTAGATTCCTGCAATAGCTTAGTATACAGAAATGGAGTTCTCATACGGACATGTATTTTATGCGCACACAAAAAGTAGTTGTTATGCTGAGCATAGCAGTTTATATCAGTTCAAAACTGCCGACTTCAATGTGGAAAGTAAATGGGTTTTTTTCCACATACTGCTAAAAAAAAAACCCAGCTGGATTTTAATCCTCCACGAGTCACTAGATGTCACAATTCTCCACTTTGATATAAAAATGGTGCATATGTAGTGTACAGGCTAATGCGTAAAACTTCCCATCCTCTGTAATGTGAACTTTTGCAGTGGCATGGCTACAGCAGCAAACGTGGAAAGTTTAAGTATACTCACAAAAAACTTAGGGAAGTTATGACAGTCCTGCGTCGAGATTGGTTCCTCCATAGCTGAGAAAAGCTCTAATAATTGTGTTGGCCCTTTAGAAATCTTAGCAAGCATCACTACAGAAAAAACACTTAAACATATGCAAGGAAGGAGAGCCTCTGTAGAAATACCTTTCTACCTGTTATTGGTGTTTTTCATTTCTGGCTGGACCTCGTTGTGGCTGCGTTGTTCCGTTGCTAGTCATTTATCTTAAGCAGTTTGTCAGCTTTCAGGCTTCTTCCATTTTCAGAAACTTCTTTTCTTTGTTCAGATTAAAACTGTTTTAGTATAGTGTAAC